GTTGTTCAATCTTTTAATCTAAAGATTAGTAATTAATTAAAAAAATTTTAAAATCATTTTGGAGCTCTAAACACATTACGCGCTCCACTGTGATGAATATTAGGATCTCAAGTTGTTTGTATTTGCTCAACTGGATAACAATTCATTCGTTATTAATTATTATTGTCGCCGTTGCTGCTTTTATTGTTCTTAAGCTTTTGTTTTGCGCCATTTTTTAAATTAAAAAGACTGAGTGTAAAATATGCACAAGTACGAGTACGAGTACGAGTTTGAATTATAAAAAAATTATACCTTAAACGGTGTGAGATTAAAAACAACTAAGAAAATTATATACGGCTATGGCCGAATCTTCGATACCCAACACTTTTTTCTTCATATACAATGTACAAATATTTATCGTTATAGTTCACAAGTAATGAGTAAAATACTCTTTTTTTTTTTTTTATTTTTTTTTTTTTTTTTATTTTACTTTTGATGAAAACACAACTTGTTTTTTTACTGTGGACATGTCCTCTAACCGATTTAGCCTATTTTCACTACCAACCTGGGTGAAATAGTCTCCACTGTTTTTGCCCAATTTAAAGCCGACATCTTCATTTTAGCGTCCATGACTACGTTTACTACAGACAGACAAGCAGACAGACAGACAAACAGACAGACAGGCAGGTAAGATTAAACCAATTCGGAATTTGATGCTAATTAAGATTAATAAATAAATATGTGCATATACTTTTTAACTTCTCTGAAGCTTACTCCCATAATATTGCAAACACTTTGACTAAATGAATATATCGCGATCCTTTGTTTGGCGGATATAACAAATGAATGATATCAACTAAACGAGAAAACAAATTATTATATGAATTCTATCGACATATAACAATTCCTCAAGCTCAAGGTCCATTAAATGAGAAAAAAGAGAAGAAAAGAAAAAGAAACAAAAATATTGTTTGTTTATATCTTGTTATTAATTTAAACAAATTTTTTGTCTCATCTGACATACATATAAAAAAATTATTATATAGAGGGTTTCCCGAAATTAGTGGGTATTTTAGCCTTTTAATAAACTATATATATTTTTTATTTAAAACTTTTCAATTTTAAAAACATCAGCCCAACGAATATGTATGAATGATTATTTTGGTCTTTTGTACCATTCAGGCCCTATCTCTTAGAATATATATAAATTTTTATGACAATATGTCTTGTCATGACTAAGGTTTTTTTCTTTGAAGTTATCTTCAAGATGTGGCCTACAATTCACGATGTCAAACAAGTAAGTTTTCAGACCACTATCAATATTACCCTACAATTACGGTAAATTGGCTCATTTCTACAATCAAAGCTCACAAGCTTGTTTATTCCATCATTTATCATATATTGCATGTGATCTGCCGATATTTCATTTCTAATAAATCAAACGATGTCACTACATAGCAAAGTTTTTTTTAATTATAAACGTAGCTCCAATCATATATAAATATTATAATCTGCTGCAAACATTAATCCAGAACATGATACCACTATTCAATATGGCTATGTAAAAATTCAATTCAAAAGAAAGTTAACTGTAATCAGACAAGATTGACCAATAAAAAAAAAAATACCCAATAGCCAAAATCCAAATTTAAAAAAATTTCTTTATTGATTACACCGTACCAAAAATTGTATGTTGTTTGATGAACACACTTATATATAGTCCAATCTTATCGCAGTAAGTTGATATATTTCAAATCATTTTTAAAATGAAGGGCGAATTTTACCGAATCCAAGCTTGGTTCTTATGCAAATCACACAAACATTGCCGTCTAATCATAATAATGGCAATAATAACAATAATAATAATAATAATAGCAATAATAATAATAATAATAATAATAATAATAATAATGATAGTAATAATAATATTACTTCGTTTATTGCGAAAAGAAATAACTAAGTAACACTATATTATCATCGTTTGCATCGATAACGGTGTTGAACAGAACAACTTTGGTTATTTTTACAAAGAAAGGAAAACCAGAAATTCAAAAAGAAAAAAAAAAAAAAAAAAAAAAAACAAATAAAAAAAGGCATCAATATTTAATGCAATATGTTTACAACAATAACTCTTTACTTTAATAGGCACACACATATAACATATATACATGATACGCCATATAAATTACAAAAGCTTTTATTCTTTAAACAGAGAGAGCGACTTATATTTCATTTCTAATACTTGTATGCAGTGGAAGCATATAGTGATTTATGCAAATATGTAATAAGTACTATTCAGGTAAATGTTTATGCAACATGACTGAAATAATAAGTTTCAATCGGGTCTTAGTCAATACTTATAACGCTTGGCTGATGATTTAAACTATCTTTGTTATGTCATAAGGAATATCCTCATGAAAACCGGTAAGTATGTATATAAAGCGATAAGGCGACTAATCTCATTTCCATATTCGTCAACGAGGAAGGCGACAGTATACTATATTCAATATATATGATTGCGGTGTAAAACGAAACAAAGAACTGAAACGTTCTCAGAAATGTATTTTTATGAATAATTGTGACACATGCAGAGAATGAAATTTCCATGGTATGGGTGAAGAACATATAGCCAATTGTGTATATATATATATATATATATATTTAAATTTTTGGGAACTTTTTCACCTAATGAAGTCGCTCTTACCGATCGTGATTAATATACTGATTCTAGATCGTTTATTATGAGAGGGGGGTAGGGGGGTGGTAGGTAAATTGAGTTTTCATAAAATAATCTCTATACTGCGCACCCTAGGTGATGAGTATCCAAGATACGCCCTAAAGTTTTATTGTGTCGCTTGTGTGCACAGGATTTGGGAAAAGGCTTCTCGCCGCAGTCGGCGCAAATTGGCTGAATCGAATCTGACTCCGTAAGTACATGTACGTGCGAGTAGACGCGTTTTACGGGCTCGCGGTCGGCATTTGGTGGTGGATATGTAAATTACAAAGGAAAAAAAAAAATTCAAAAAAAATAAAAATAAAAATAAAATAAAATAAAAATCACAATACTAAGCTTCATGGATTTATTGTTATGTTAAAAAGAAAAGTTACATTAAGTTTTGCCAGAATAGAATTGTATAATCATTCGAGAGACGCACATCAGTATAAAACGTATTAACACACCAAGATGTCAATGCAATCCTTAAAACACGTGCCGCATCTAAGAGTATATAACGTACACACATATAGTTGAAGTATAACCGTTATGTGGTGGAGAAATTGAATTAAATTTGAAGAGCCCTTCATACCTAAATTGCGGTAGATCGGGGGTGTTCTTCAAGACACGCGTCGTTTATTTTCTCATTTAGAAAAGCAGGGATTAGTTTAAACTAAGTACTTAACTATGCAACTAGCAGCATGCTTATGGTGCTGGAACGATGAGCTGGCAAAGTTTGTCGCAAACATGATTTTATTTGTATTTGCCCACACATATGTCCAAACATATGCCCATATTGTACAATGTGTTTATATATAATAATAATAAGAATAATAATAATAATAATAATGTGTTTATGCGATCGTATGTAATGAAATGTTCGAAAAGCAATTATGGTTCTTAGGTAACCCTTGATGTTAATTTACAAACATTTTTGCTGTTAACCAGTCTATTGTCTGAATGCTGACGACATTCTCGTCAGTTAGATGATTATGCCAATCAATCGCTGGGGGCACTTAAGCAAGACTGGTCGGCAGTTTAGGAAGTATTGCATGCAAAAGCAAGCATTCAGTGATGGCCTACGAACTGATGTCACATATAAGTATTTAAGAAATGCCAATGTATATGTGTGCGTGTGTATTCGTTTATACATACGATCTAATACGTTTAAAAAAAAAAAAAAATAAAATAAAATAAAACCACTTAATCTAGTTCAGTGTGGGCTAATCATCGCTTTATTAGGCCATGCTTTTCAAATGTAAGAACATGTCGTGAGGACCTTTCCCTTGGTGATAATATCTTGAAATTAACCGAGCAGAGGCATCTCTCACAATTTTTATTTATGGTTTTTTTTTTTTTTTTTTTAATTGTAATATAGAACATCGTACGGACATATATATAAGATGTCGTTTCGTTGCTAATCATCGGAACTGCGCACTAAGCATATTATAATATTTTTGTATTCTTCCTGCGGATGAAGCTCTAAGCCGATTTACTAAAGTTACTTGTTGTCCATCCGTTTACCTGGCTGTTTGCTATGTGTCATTGTTCTCGAAATCACAAAAATTGAAATTGAAACTTTACAGTTAATTTGGATTCTACAGATACTAGAAATTTGGAAAAAGACCTAGTAACCTGCCTATATAGATATCTGAAACAACTTCAGGAAGAAATCAAAAATACATTTTTTTTTTTTTTTTTTTTCTAATGACATATTATAAATAGTTCGAGTTATATAAAAATATTTAGAAAAGTCTGGAAATATTATGCCACGCATGACACGCGCGCAATTAAGTGAAATACCTGAATATCCTAATTATCTAAAATGGATAGGTATGTATTCAAGATTTGTGAGAAGATAAATTAAGTAAAGATGGCTCGAGAAATTTCGGAAAATTTCTTTTGCAATTATTTGATTTGTCAGTCACGTGGCACTTATATCGGGTACTAGATCTTAAGTAAAATTTATGGCATTTTAAGAAGCGGTGTCGCTACCGAGTATGGGACGAAAGTGGTTAGAAAACTTTCGTCGATTTCCGACCTCTAAGACGTTAATCATTCTTGCGATCCAGTCAATGTTGATGTCTATCGCAAAGACTTTAATCGACTTCGATTGACGTTTAACGATTGGCGTACGAAATGGTTCGAAATTTTGTATTGTTCTTCTGCTTATACACCGACACCATATATATATATATATATATATATATATGTATTTTCGTAATGATCTGCACCACTACTATACGGCTGACTACTAGTGGCTGGTTAAGTGAAAAATTCAAATAAAAAAAAATTAAGCAAAACTTACCTAAACGCTTCGAAATTTCGGAATTATGCATTTTCGGATTGTCTTGAGCAATTTTCCTTCGTTGCAAACGGGACCAGACCATGAAAGCATTCATTGGACGTTTAATGTGTTCTTCGTTTTGTCTTTTCGTTGTGTTTTGTATCATTAAGCTAAAAAAAACATCGCTGTAAGAATAGAAAGTTAAATATACACATGAAAATGATTATATGCATAGCAATCGAACTGAATTAATAATATCACCTAGCACTACTTCCACCATTCATAAGAGTTCCCATGTTCTGATGTAAATTTGTCATTGGTGATGTTTGCGAATTGTGGTGTAAATGAGCCGCCGCTGCAGCCATGACAGAGGAGCTTGCCGTTGTTGACGAAGAGGAGGCTAAATTTGTTGAAGACTGATGATTTGTTTGATGGTTAATGTGTCGCAATGAATTTGACGTGCCTGACAGATTCGAGCAATTATTTTGTAAGATTGTGGGGGATGTCTGTATATGCAACGAGGAATGAATTGAATCTCCCCCTGGTACGGAATGCTGTCCCAGGTGTTGCTGAACGAAAGAGGTTTGTTGTGGACTTTGATTGCTTGGACAATTACTTGAATTAGTTTGCGGCATAGAGCTGCCACCTTGCGATATATTTTGAAAATTATATAACGTATTCAAAGCTACGTTGTGATTGCCGCCGTTATTTATTGCCCGGCTGGAGACGTGCTGATTATGGTGTACTGATGCTGCTAACTGCTCCAAATGGCTTTCAGTGGGTGAATTGATCGCTGAAGAGGGGCTACTAAAATGATTTTGAAATGTTTGTCCTGCCGAAATCGATAGAGGATGTGTAAGCGATATGCTGGAAAATGATATGGATGGAATACGTTCCATTATTCTATGAAGAACGACACACAAACAATGATACTAACTGAGAGGCTTCGGAAATAAAGCATGCGTTGCTGGGCACTTGCCAGATGTTTGGTATTAACACTAAAAATGAATAAAAATGGCTTCATCGAGTATTTTCATCAATAAAAATATATATAGATATATATATATATATATATATATATATATATATATATATATGTATATGTAAATATATAGTATATCTTATGTAATCACAATTCATTAAAATTTTTATTAAACGCTTAAATACTTAAAGTATTTTCATTCTCTACCGTGTGTTTACATTTCAACTAAGCCCAATTCATCAATACAACAAAGAGTCATAATTTATTTTGTTATTTTTAAATCATTGTCACAAACATGAAAAAGAGGCCAAAAAAGAAAAGGAATAAAAAATGAAAAATGAAAAAGAAAAACCCACAAAAAGTATGAACTTATATGTATACACACACACAAACATAAACACATCCATACATACATTAATACATAAATACATACATACATACATACATACATACATATTTACATACATCCGCAAGCAAAAGTTTCATTTACTTGTCAGTACGGAATGCATGCATGCTCCGACAAAACTTATAATTCTTAGAGAATGTTTAGCATATTAAAAGAAAAAAAGCAAAAAAGAAACTGATATGTCTTTTGTGTCGAATTTGTATTGGTGTCGCAAAAACTTGATTTGATTGATTGCTAAATATCTTACTTGCAAGAAATTGTGTACAAAAACCCACAACACAACCGTAATCGTATATATTCAGAATAAGGATCTTTAATACGCACCACCTCCGAATCCTACAGACGATATTCCCGTTCTTACACCCATCATTAAATGATGAACGCATATAAAGTTTGCTATACTATTTGCAACAGCTACTCACAGGCCTCTAATAAGCCATAAGCCGTGTAAGCCATATATATACACCATACACTATAAGCCTTAAAGATAAGAAAATTTACAGTTTGTTTTTTTTTTTCTCTCTCTTAAGCTCATAACAGGTTTTCCGGTAAATTGATTTGTCCCATCACTAAAGCGATTCTTCTTTTCACATATCACATACTTTTTCCATTATTCACTTCGGTTGTCATTATTTCTTCATTTGACGAAAGATGCTCGCCACTTGGGAATTTTTTAAATTTTGGTAACATGTTTCGTATCCGTGCGATTGTCTAGATGAACAATGATTTTTCTTTGCTAAACCAGATAAGTAGTGAGTCACTAGTCAACACGAGGACCACCGACTTTTTGCCTATACCTATTTTTACCGTTATGAATCATTTTGAATCATAATTTTTTCATCTTTTTATTCATAACTTTCGATCCTGCAAAGATATTTCGAAATTCTTCTATTCAAATCGTCAGAACCGCTTGCACACCGATTATGAATACATTAAGAATTAGCGATAAAATTAATCTAATTCTAATTAATAAAATTGGGTGAAGAATTGGGTACTAATGCGCATTAGAATAAACTGGAAATAAATTGGAATTAAGACTTAAACGTTACCGGTGGACAAGTTAGTAACCCGATCAGAACAATTTTTGTACTGAACGTGACTATGATGCTGGCAAACAGCCAAGTCATAGCTTTATGGTATAGAAAGTCATAGACGAAAATATAAAAACATATACGTTGTGAGCTTATATAGAATCAGATTTCGGTCATTTCGTGACCTCGTACTCTTAATCGATGGAGGATTATTTGTACCAAATTTCAGCGTCCTGCATACTTTTCTGTTACTGTAGCGATACCATAAATGTTACACGTTCAAATACCGGATAACAAAACAGCTAAGGAAGAACTGATTATGGGTGCTTAAAAGTCTTTTCATTTATATAAACGCCATCAAAACGTATGGGAATTTTACGTATTTTCTAAGGGCAAAAGTTCAAAATGGTCATACTGACCCGTGCGGTAATGGTTAAAGATATGCCTTCTCTTGGACTATTCACACTTTCATGCCCAAGAAGAAGTATCAATACGGCAAGGCCATCTTCTCACTCCGACTACAGTTTCTCAGGCCCATGAAAATTTATACCATGCCAGTCCGGTCGTGAAATTCTAATGAACGTGTCAAGCAGCTCGACTGTACAGAAAAGAATAATTTCATGTAGAGTTTCCCGTCACCTAGAAATGTCTCCCATTAGCGGAATTGTATCCACCGCGTGTTAATAAGAGTCGATTAAAAACTTGATTATAGCAAAAGAACTATGGATTAGCCAACCAGAGGAATGCACCGAAATACATGCCTTGCTCTTCTATAACTATTCGCATAAAAACTTTTGATAAAAACTTTCTCAAAATCTCGGCGCAATTTTCAGCTTTCGCACAGCGTCCACATGTTCGACGTTTATGCGAGTAGTAAAGCAAGAATTTTCGAAAAAAATATGAACAGAAGAAATGCATATTCGAACAAGGTTGGATTCGTGCCAACTTGAAAACTTTTCGTTGGTTATGCAATGCCACAGCAATTATTATAGAAAGCTGTAGAAAGGTAAGTTAAAAATTTGCAGGAGAACAACGCTTGCCTTCCCCTTACGAGTAGAGAGGACGGATTGGGTAGCACCTCAATCGACGAAAGGAATGATAACTGATGTGTAAGGTTATTTTATTCAAATCGCCCAAGAGCTCGCCACGCATTGTTACAACTGAATCTTGTTAGCAAATAATTACACTTGACACTGCCGGACATCCCGGACAGTCTTTTTTTATATAATACTTTATTTGAATTTTATTTTCACAAACCAAAACGTATTTTGACCTTAAGAAATATAAAATTTGTTAATTGTGCTTTTATTTGAGAGTTGTTTCAGTTTAACTGCAATCTGTATGCCTAAATAAAGCTGTTCTCGTCCCACGCCTTAACACTCTACGATTATTATGTGCGAACAATAACCGTTGACTTCACTTAATTCTGGCATGGCGTACAACAATGTAACCTATGCGTATAAATGTAAAAATGTATTTTGCATTTAAAAAAAAAAAAAAAAAAACTATGAAAACTATGTGGAATAATCATTGTAATCATCGTCTTTATACGCATATCTTTATTTTATGTAAAAGTGCTCACATTGGTTTATTTATTCTCCCATTGTCCCCCCGTGACTGGTCAAAATAGATATTTCATCGTTACATCGTCGCCTCGTGTCGTTCGCTTTCCTTTGCGCATTATGTTTAGTTTTATTTTTAATACAGAGATTTTTTAAGGGTTACTTTACTTTACTATTATTAAAATGCGTTAAATAATCCCTTTAGGGTCCCCCAACTGGTCCGTACGCCGTTTAGTGGCATGAATTTAAGGTTATTGTGAAAATTTCTTTGTATTGACTTTAAAATCCTTTTTAGGCTTACACGTGTTAAATACACTCAAGTTGGATTAAGAGTGTTTAAAAAACAATTTGGGGTTAAGCATTTCAAATAACAACGGCAACAGCAGCAGCAATAGCAGCAGCAGCAGAAGCAGTAGCAGCAACAACAACAACAACAACAACAATATAAAAAGGGTTAAATTTTGAATATGATTTCAATTTGTTTAATGGTCTGCGAGTTATTGGCATTTGAGTGTCCGTCATTGTTGTCGTACATTAGATCCTTACTCAAGCACAGAATAAAACAAAGAAAAGTACTATGCGCCGTTAGACCACACGATTCAACATACGGTGCATTTATTTACAGTATGGCCCCCTGCGAGTCACTCTCTACTTTATATTTCTACTTAAAACGTATAGAAAATTAAAGACATCTTCAAAGAAAAAAAAAAAAAGCGAAAAGCAAACAGTCCGCATATTTGCAATTGCACTTTCTTGGGGTCTTAGTTAATATATGGGTATAGTTCGATGCTAACGATATCAAAAAACGCAGATATGTTGGAGCATATGTGACTTTTTGATTTTTATATTTTCGAACGGAAATGATCATTAAACTCTTTCAATATATACTTTCACACTTATGTGAACCCATACGCATACTAACGTGTATACATATCTATTATATAGACTTGAAGCTCCAAAACAATCAAAATTCTACAAAAGATCTGAAGGATTATAAAAATTAGCAGAGGGTTTCTCTATGATTTAGTTGTTTAAGAAAAAAAAAAAACTGCTCCTCAAGGTTATTACATTAACCATAGCTTTTTTTCCTTCTCTATCCGCAATCTGTACTGACCACAAGCATAGCAGCATGGGTAGAGGACATGCCCAAATGCTTAAAATTAAAAAAATGAATCTTATGCGCCAGTGTCAGAATCGAATGCATTCGATCGAATACGTTAAGCGTTTTTGAAGTTTCCTCTAAAATTCTTATATCATTTATGATCAGAAACGTAGTTATCTAAAATTCGCTCGAGATTTATTGTTGTGTGCGAAGTTAATTAGTGCGATGTCCTAGGTCTTGATTTTATTTACTACTTTTTTTTGCGCGCCGCCTATGTGCAAGTTTTAATGCATAAATATTTACTGGAAAATTCTCTCCATATCTCTCTCTCTCTCTCTCTCTCTCTCTCTCTCTCTCTCTCTCTCTCT